ATCATGTCATCCACATATACTTCTATCTCTTTGTGGATCATGTCATGGAACAACGTGACCATAGCCCTTTGATAAGTAGCCCCTGCATTCTTGAGTCCGAAGGGCATTACGCGATAGCAAAAGGTGCCCCATGGTGTGATAAAGGAGGTTTTTTCTCTATCCTCAACGGCCAACTTGATTTGGTTGTACCCCGCATACCCGTCCATGAAAGAATATAGCGTGTTGGTAGCGGTATGGTCTACCAGCGTGTCTATATGTTGTAGGGGAAAATCGTCTTTTGGACTTGCTCGATTGAGGTCCCTATAATCCACGCAGACCCTGACCTTCCCAGTCTTTTTTATGACGGGTACTATGTTGGCCAACCATTCTGGGTATTTGGACACTACCAGGAAATTGGCATCCAACTGTCTTTGCACCTCCTCCTTTATCATTAAGGACCAGTCCGGTTTGATTCTTCTGAGTTTTTGTTTCACTGGTCGAAATCCCTCTTTTAATGGCAATCTATGCTCCACTATACTTGTGTCGAGCCCAGGCATGTCGTGATAAGACCAAGCAAACACGTCCATATACTCCTTCAAAAGCTGTATCAATTCTTCCCTTATGCTACCTTTTATTTGGGTGTTGATGTTCACCTTTTTCTCCTCATCCTCTTTTCCCAAATTAACGGTTTCTATTTCCTCCTGATGCGGTTGTATGATGCGTGTTTCCTTTTCCAGCATTCTTTGCATATCTGGAGAAATGGTCTCCTGCTCACTGTCGGACCCGACCCATTCGCTTTCCGTTTCTGGGGTCCACAGAGATTCATCAATCACAGACATGATGTGTTTTAGGTTCTGTTTTAGTCATAGATTTTATTATTCAACTTATTTTTGAAAGAATAATAAATAGAAGAGGGAAAAGAATGAATATGACAAAATGCCTCGTATATTAATGAAAATGAAGATGTATATACAAGCCCTTTAATCAAAATTCCTGCGGCCACGGGCGGGGACCGTAGGAGATACAGAGAAAAGCTTTAAAAAAGACATCCTAAGGGCTGATCCTCTTAGTCCTCCCTCTCTGCTACTCCGGCTTTGATAGAGGTTTGACGTCGACATCGGAAGCGGAGGCGTCGAAAGTTATCCACCCGGCATCGATTAATTCTTGAACCCGATACTTAAGGGTCAAGCAATTTTCTATAGAGTGCCCGGGTGAACCCGAATGATAAGCACATTTCTCGTTTGGTTTGTACCATTCGGGGTAGGGAGACTCCAACTGTTTCTTGGGAGGAGCGCAGGTTAGGAGCTTGGCTTCCAACAGTTGAGGCAGCAACATTCCATAGGAAGTGGAGATTGGAGTGAACTTCCTCTCTTTCTTGCGGGGCTGCTTGGCCGTTTGTGGGGTAGAAGAAGGGGTGGCGAAGTTGATTGCATGCACGGATTCGTCCTTCTTCTTGCCGGCAGGCTTCCTGAATGAGACCCCAGCTTGGGAAGACTGTGCTATCTTCCCGCTCCTTAGTCCCTGCTCTACTCTTTCCCCTACAGTGACTATGTCTGAGAAAAGGTTGGAGGTACTGGCTATTGCCTTGTCGTAGTACGCTCTAGTTAGTGAATCGATGAACATAGCCACTGTCTCCTTGTCAGTCAAAGGAGGCTCTATTTGGGCAGCCATTTCCCTCCATCTTTGGGCGTACGCTTTAAAAGGCTCGTCGTTCCTTTTGCTCAGAGTCCTGAGATCTGACCTATCAGGAGTCAGATCAATGTTGTATCGGTAACGACAGAGAAAAGCGTCAGCCAGCTGTTTCCAGTTCTGGACCTGCCCTCTCTCTAACTGCATGTACCAGTTGAGAGCCGTATCCGCCAGACTCTCCTGGAAGCAGTGGATCAGGAGTTTTTCGTTCTCAGCATGGGCGGCCATCTTACGACAATACATCGTAAGATGGTTTTTTGGGCAGGTCATCCCAGCGTACTTGGGGAAGTCCGGGATCTTGAACTTGAGAGGGAAGTGGATGTTCTTCACCAGGCACATGTCCGCCACCTCTTTGACGTCGAAGTTGTGTCCTTCGACTGCCTTGAGTCTCTCCTCCAGGGCAGAGAGTTGTTGTTTGGATACCTCCGGAGTAAGGATGCGTGCGGTCTTAGCATCCTTCTCGTCGTAGAAGTATTCTTCTTCGTCCTCCTCATGGGGAGGGACGTGCTCAGCTTGGTCTTTGTCCTTGCTCTGTCCCTGGCGTACAACCTCCATCAGTTGGGCCATCTGTTCACGGAGGGTATTGACCTCCACAGTGAGCTTTCTGTTTTTCTCTTCTAGATTTTCCATTGCTTTTGCTTTTTGTGCTCGAGTGCGAGTGGGGAGAGGACCAGCCACTTTCTAGAATGCCCGGAAGAACTTTATTAATGCATGTTGAGTGTTTGAACTACAATGAATATGCTTATGCATGAGAGATTCTGTTTGAATGATGCTGCATGCGCTCTCGCTTTTTATTTTCTCTCTTGGTTTTTCTTTACGCATTGTATGATGTAATATGAATGTTTTGACTTTGTCAGAAGTTGATTTATTTATTTTCGGGTATTTTGATTTTTTATTTGATGTTTATTTGTTTATTTTATAGCCTTTTATCTCTTCTGTCGGAACTGCGTGGCTACTTAGCTTACAAAGAACCTGAAATCAGGCTAGCTAAAAGGCAGACTGTCCGGGATAAAATATGGCTTTATGCGAAAGGATATTTTAGCGTCCCTTATCTCTTCTGTCGGAACTGCGTGACTACTTAGCTTACAAAGAACCTGAAACCAGGCTAGCTAAAAGGCAGACTGTCCGAGATAAGGGTGTTTATTTGTGAAAATATTTTTGGTTTTTGTTTTGTTGTTTGTTTATGCTATGCAATAGACAAATGCAACAAACATATGCACACACAATTCAATCATCCACGAATAGGCGAGAATTCGTTTTTATCACGAGGTAGGGTTTTCCTGCAGAAAAGTGCATTGGCAAGGGTTGGTTTTAACTGTTCTCACCAGGCTAAGGCCCCCAAGGTGCCCCCATTATAGGGTCCCCACTCTCCAGCCGTCCAACTATGCTTAGCACTAAGGCTGTAGTCAGTCTTGTTGCCAAAAGAGGAAGGTTATCACCTTGAGTGGTGGTTTCCGATCACACTGGTGGGCTCAAGGCCCTCACTACAGCGAACCGTACCTGCCACCCACTCCCTATGGTTTTCTCACTTGCCCCCGGGTATAGAGGAAACTGTTGTGTGCAAAGGTTTGTGTACAATTTGTATTCACACAATTGCGGAAGTATAAATAGACAACAGTTATTTAAAGCCAAGCAATAAAACATGTTATAATACAAGTTAAGGGCAAAAAGCGTCATTTTCTTGGTCTATTTATTTTTAAGTTGGCCCATCACTAAATGGGATCAACTCTCGAGGCTTCCCCAGTGGAGTCGCCATCTGTCGCTGCCGTCAAAAAGATGGCGGTCGGAGCGACGCGATGGTTTCGACCCTTTTTGATTTTCGCGTTTTTTATGGGTGGTTACAACGCCTTTAGGTTGTCCGATAACCAGGCTAACCTAGGGGCGAGGTTTTCGAAAGGTCGTCCTTGGGTTGTCCGATAACCGGGCTAACCCACGGACTAATTTTGAGGGGTTCTGTGGAGTCGCCACCGATGTTTTTACCGGAAACATCGGAAAAGGGGTTTTAAAAGGCGTTGGTTTTTGAAAACCAACTTTGGTCATTAGAACCAGAGTTGGGTAAGGGAGTTAGTTACGTGTAAAGGGAGTATTAGTCCCTTTACGACGCCCCTTTCGGGTTCCCTATGACAGGCCAGCTATTTAAAAATATTTAAACCGGTGAAAATTACGCTTTTGCCCTTTTATTTTGTGGAATTTAAAGTTATGACTACATGGCCCTAATCTATTGCATAATTTAAAATTAAAGCAGTAAAAGTAGAGAGGGAGAATTTAAACCTCCGAAGCAAGCTTTTTATTTGATTTCTTTAAAAGAAACGGGTGCTTTTTGGCAGCACTTCACTCTACACGACGCTGGAAACTCTTATAGACGCCGAAAAACGCTCACAAAAGCACTGAGAAGCTCCGGAAATGCGTCGGGGGGATTCTAGAGAGAAGTTTTAGAGAGAAGGGAGAGCTAAAGCTTGTGGTGTGTGGAAATGAGGGGGGTAGAGCCCCTATTTATAGGTTTTCGCGCCTGGCAGTGGCGAGACCGCCGTTCTCGTCTGACAGGGTCGAGACTGCCGTCTCGTCATTCGCAGGTGGCGAGACCGCCGTCTCATTTGGTGAGACGGCGGTCTCACCATTTGCGTGAGGCGAGACGGCGGTCTCGATTTCGAGACGGCGGTCTCGTTCCAAAAAGGCGAGAAAACTTATTTTTTGTGCAGAAAATCCCTCCTATCCTAGTATGGGGCCTAATAGTCTCTCCTAGTGGCTTGTTAGGCTTCGTCCATCTTCGAATAGGAGGTCTTCTACTCTTTATTTGGAGGTCGGGCAAGATTTGGGGTCTACAATTACCTACAGATGTATTCATATGTAATTACCTACGGATATATCCGCAGGTAAATTACCTACAGATATATCCGTAGGTAATATCTGTAGGTAATTACCTATGGATATATCTGTAGGTAATTACCTGCGTATATATACGTAGGTAATTGAAGTATCTACTACTCTCCATTCTTTTTGCATTATTCTGATTGCATTGACCTGGACATTAAATGATATATTAAATTTTCTAGATACACAAGTTCATAACCAGAAAAAATAAAATGATATATAAAATAACATAACAATTTATTGTCCCAATACAAAATAAAAACGTCAAATATATCCAAATATAATGAAACATATCCAATATAATTTCGTAAAATGCTAATAATCCATATAATCATCATCTGCATCCTTCTGTTGATCTTGATTTTGTTGTTCGGTATTTGGTTCTGCATCCTTTTGTTGATCTTGATTTTGTTGTTCGGTATTTGGTTCCAATCACTGCTCACTACTTTCCAGTCGTTGTTTCAGTTGACTAATTTTCTATGAATCAGCTTTCTGACTGGAGCACGCTCTTGTAGATAACTTTCAACACAATAATCACTAGAGTCAACATGACCAACTCCATACACGCGTCCCTTATACCTTCCTCCTGCAACCTCTAACCAACATCTATTCCTTAGCCTTTTCTCTTCAACAGGGTCTAGGGGAGTGCATTGTGAATCACCCACATTAGAAGTTGACTCAGACATTGATGGCATCCTAACTTATTTGGTCAAGAAAGAAAAGAAACAAGCAGGAAAAAGTAAAATGAAGTAAACATACCTCCTTAGTGTTCATATCACATCACATTACATCCCATACCATAAAAATTATCAACATTTCTTTTGAACATGACAAAAATAGTTTTCCTATGATCTAGTATATTGATAGTAAAATCTTAAGGAGTATTAAGATAAAAAGTATATTTTCAAACCCCTGCTCTTGAGAGGTGACTACGAGTGATACCTAGGTCGCTAGGTCTGAGAAATATAACAAGGTTCACATAGGGAATCAAGAAGCTAATACATTTTGGCAAAACCTAGAATACTACCAAATAAATTTAGAATTCAACTTAACAACAACTTTAAAGCAAAAACGCATTGCTTTGCTCCTTGACTGAAGCAACTATTGGGATGAAAAATGTATTTAAAACAATTTATTGATTTAAGAGATTTTATAGGTTGCCATACTCATGAAATTGATGGCATCCTAACTTATTTGGTGAAGAAAGAAAAGAAACAAACAGGAAAAAGTAAAATGAAGGAAACATACCTCCTTAGTGTTCATATCACATCAGATCCCATACCATAAAAATTATCAACATTTCTTCTGAACATGACAGAAACAGTTTTCCTATGATCTAGTAGATTTATGGTAAAATCTTAAGGAGTATTAAGATAAAAAGGATATTTTCAAAGCCATGGTCTTGAGAGGTGACTACGAGTGATACCTAGGTCGCTAGGTCTGAGAAATATAACAAGGTTCACATAGGGAATCAAGAAGCTGATACATTTTGGCAGAACCTAGAATACTACCAAATAAATTTAGAATTCAACTTAATAGCAACTTTAAAGCAAAAACGCATTGTCTTGCTCCTTTACTGAAGCAACTATTGGGATGAAAAATGTATTTAAACATATTCATTGATTTAAGAGATTTTATAGGTTTCCATACTCATGAAGTTGATGGCATCCTAACTTATTTGGTGAAGAAAGAAAAGAAACAAACAGGAAAAAGTAAAATGAAGGAAACATACCTCCTTAGTGTTCATATCACATCACATCCCATACCATAAAAACTATCAACATTTATTCTGAACATGATAGAAACAGTTTTCCTATGATCTAGTAGATTGATGGTAAAATCTTAAGGAGTATTAAGATAAAAAGTATATTTTCAAAGCCATGGTCTTGAGAGGTGACTACGAGTGATACCTAGGTCGCTAGGTCTGAGAAATATAACAAGGTTCTCATAAGGAATCAAGAAACTGATACATTTTGGCAGAACCCATAATACTACCAAATAAATTTAGAATTCAACTTAACAACAACTTTAAAGCAAAAAACACATTGCCTTGCTCCTCACGACAGAGTAACCTTGAAAGGAATTGAGAAAAGTCTTCTACTCCATTGAAATAATTACACACTAAACATCATACCAGACAGGGTTACAATATAAAGATATATAAGTCAAATAACTTTAATAAGAATCAAAGTATATTGCAGAGAAGGTAAAAGCAGGTATGAATCAAAGTTTTATTTGCATGTAACATCCAAATAATCACATTTAAGAAATAAAATTGAATATCCCAACCAGCTGAGCCATAATCAACTACAACAACATATGAAAAACAACTTTTAAAATTTTCATTGATCCAATGTTAACCAACCACCAAGCAATAATGCATGACAATGTCAGCCCCAAACCCGATAATCCACAGATCCCGTAAAAACTCAATTTATATCCAAGAACCGATCATAAATCAAGCAAACCAAATGAAACATTTAAAACAACTCAAATCAAGAACAATAAACAAAAAATCAAAAAGAGAAAGGAAAACTTAGGCCTGTGACCCTTGCTTCTAATCACCAATCTCCAAGTTTACCTGCAATGGCTAGGGGTGGCGCGAGTCACAGTTAGGCCTCTGCGGTTGGGTTGGGGTGATAACGTCTAGGGCTTCGCTGGGATGCAGAGGCCGCAAAGGAGGTGAGGGAAAAGGTGTTAGCGTCAGCTAGGGCTGTGGAGTTCAAGTGAATGGTTGAGGAAGATTGAAAATGGAGCTCAGTGAGGGGTGCTCGGGAAAGAGGGGTGCGGGTGACTGAGTTGTTGAGAGGAGCCGAGAAAAGAGTGAGGCAGAGGGAAGAGGGAATGAGGGAAAAGGGAAAGTGAAGGTGTAGGGAGAGTGGGGGCTGCTCCGCGGGAAGAAGGAAGAAGAGCAAGGCGAGAGGGAGCTAGGGTCTGGAAAGTGGAGGTGCTGGTCGAAAACTTTTTTTCCTTATGTTTTTACTACTAATTACTTACTAATTTTATTTTTTAATATTTTCTAATAAAATTCGTATGTAAAGTATGACTTCATTACATACGGATTTTATTGTCATTACCTACGGATTTCATCCTTTCAATGTTCCCTCCTAAACGCGCCAACATTACATATGGATAATACCTACGGACTACTACAACGTATAGTTTTATATACGGATAAAAATCCGTAGATAAAATTCGTAGATAATTTATAATTTAACTAAGGATATGGATCTGTAGGTAAATATCAGCAGGTAATTGGTCATTTTCTTGTAGTGCTTGTCACCACTCACTAGATTTGCAAACTCATATGAGTTAGTGAGTTAATTATGAATTTGATAAGCATGGATTCAAGCTTTGAAGAAAACAACTTGAGGTATGGATTGCAAGGGAGAGACATAAGAATAGGTTAAGAGATATGTGGATGATGCAAACCTTTTGAAGAATATTAAGTTGAAAAAAAAAATATTGTGAACATAATTATCTAAGGTAGTGTGGACACACAAATTTATTAAGAAATGAGTTTACTTATGAGTGAACTTGTCACCACTCACTAGAGTTGCAAACTCATGTGAGTTTGTGAGTTAATTGTGAGTTTGATAAGCATGGATTCAAGCTTTGAAGAAAACAACTTTAGGTAAGGATTTCAAGGGAGAGACATAAGAATAGGTTAAGAGATATGTGGATGGTGCAAACCTTTTGAAGATGATTAAGTTGAAAAAAAAATATTGTGAACATAATTATCTAAGGTAGGGTGGACACACAAATTTATTAAGAAATGAGTTTACTTATGAGTGACCTTATCAAACCTCACTAGAGTTGCAAACTCATATGAGTTAGTGAGTTAATTGTGAGTTTGATAAGCATGGATTCAAGCTTTGAAGAACACAACTTTAGGTAGGGATTGCAAGGGAGAGACACAAGAATAGGTTAAGAGATATGTGGATGGTGCAAACCTTTTGAAGATAATTAAGTTTAAAAAAAATATTGTGAACATAATTATCTAAGGTAGGGTGGACACACAAATTTATTAAGAAATGAGTTTACTTATGAGTGAACTTGTCACCACTCACTAGAGTTGCAAACTCATGAGTTAGTGATTTAATTGTGAGTTTGATAAGCATGGATTCAAGCTTTGAAGAAAACAACTTGAGGTAGGGATTGCAAGGGAGAGACATAAGAATAGGTTAAGAGATATGTGGATGGTGCAAATCTTTTGAAGATGATTTAGTTGAAAAAAAAAATATTGTGAACATAATTATGTAAGGTAATGTGGACACACAAATTTATTAAGAAATGAGATTACTTATGAGTGAACTTGTCACCCCTCACTAGAGTTGCAAACTCATATGAGTTAGTGAGTTAATTGTGAGTTTGATAAGCATGAATTCAAGCTTTGAAGAACACAACTTGAGGTAGGGATTGCAAGGGAGAGACATAAGAATAGGTTAAGAGATATGTGGATGGTGCAAACCTTTTGAAGATGATTAAGTTTAAAAAAATATTGTGAACATAATTATCTAAGGTATGGTGGACACACAAATTTATTAAGAAATGAGTTTACTTATGACCATTCACTAGAGTTGCAAACTCATATGAGTTAGTGAGTTAATTGCGAGTTTGATAAGCATGGATTCCAGCTTTGAAGAACACAACTTGAGGTAGGGATTGCAAGGGAGAGACATAAGAATAGGTTAAGAGATATGTGGATGGTGCAAATCTTTTGAAGATGATTTAGTTGAAAAAAAAATATTGTGAACATAATTATCTAAGGTAGTGTGGACACACAAATTTATTAAGAAATGAGTTTACTTAGGAGTGAACTTGTCACCACTCACTAGAGTTGCAAACTCATGAGTTAGTGAGTTAATTGTGAGTTTGATAACCATGGATTCAAGCTTTGAAGAAACAACTTGAGGTAGGGATTGGAAGGGAGAGACATAAGAATAGGTTAAGAGATATGTGGATGATGCAAACCTTTTGAAGAATATTAAGTTGAAAAAAAAATATTGTGAACATAATTATCTAAGGTAGTGTGGACACACATATTTATTAAGAAATGAGTTTACTTATGAGTGAACTTGTCACCACTGACTAGAGTTGCAAACTCATGTGAGTTAGTGAGTTAATTGTGAGTTTGATAAGCATGGATTCAAGCTTTGAAGAAAACAACTTGAGGTAAGGATGGCAAGGGAGGGACATAAGAATAGGTTAAGAGATATGTGGATGGTGCAAACCTTTTGAAGATGATTAAGTTGAAAAAAAATTATTGTGAACATAATTATCTAAGGTAGGGTGGACACACAAATTTATTAAGAAATGAGTTTACTTATGAGTGAACTTGTCACCACTCACTAGAGTTGCAAAGTCATATGAGTTAGTGAGTTAATTGTGAGTTTGATAAGCATGGATTCAAGCTTTGAAGAACACAACTTGAGGTAGGGATTGCAAGGGAGAGACATAAGAATAGGTTAAGAGATATGTGAATGGTGCAAACCTTTTGAAGATGATTGAATTTTAAAAAAAATATTGTGAACATCATTATCTAAGGTAGTGTGGACACACAAATTTATTAAGAAATGAGTTCACTTATGATTGAACTTGTCACCACTCACTAGAGTTGAAAACTCATATGATAGTGAGTTAATTGTGAGTTTTATAAACATGGATTCAAGCTTTGAAGAAAACAACTTGAGGTAGGGATTGCAAGGGAGAGACATAAGAATCGGTTAAGAAATATGTGGATGGTGCAAATCTTTTGAAGTTGATTTAGTTGAAAAAAAAAATATTGTGAACATAATTTTCTAAGGTAGTGTGGACACACAAATTTATTAGGAAATGAGTTTACTTATGAGTGAACTTGTCACCACTCACTAGAGTTGCAAACTCATATGAGTTAGTGAGTTAATTGTGAGTTTGATAAGCATGGATTCAAGCTTTGAATAAAACAACTGAGGTAGGGATTGCAAGGGAGAGACATAAGAATAGGTTAAGTGATATGTTAATGGTATAAACCTTTTGAAGATTATTAAGTTGAAAAAATAAGGTAGTGTGGACACACAAATTTATTAAGAAATGAGTTTACTTATGAGTGAACTGGTCACCACTCACTAGAGTTGCAAACTCATATGAGTTAGTGAGTTAATTGTGAGTTTGATAAGCATGGATTCAAGTTTTGAAGAAAACAACTTGAGGTAGGGATTGCAAGGGAGAGACATAAGAATAGGTTAAGAGATATGTGGATGATGCAAACCTTTTGAAGATTATTAAGTTGAAAAAAAAGATATTGTGAACATAATTATCTAAGGTAATGTGGACACACAAATTTATTAAGAAATGAGTTTACTTATGAGTGAACTTATCACCACTCAGTAGAGTTGCAAACTTATGTGAGTTAGTGAGTTAATTGTGAGTTTAATAAGCATGGATTCAAGCTTTGAAGAAAACAACTTGAGGTAAGGATTGCAAGGGAGAGTCATAAGAATAGGTTAAGAGATATGTGGATGGTGCAAACCTTTTGAAGATGATTAAGTTGAAAAAAAAAATATTGTGAACATAATTATCTAAGGTAGGGTGGACACACAAATTTATTAAGAAATGAGTTTACTTATGAGTGAACTTGTCACCTTTCACTAGAGTTGCAAACTCATATGAGTTAGTGAGTTAATTGTGAGTTTGATAAGCATGGATTCAAGCTTTGAAGAAAATAACTTGAGGTAGGGATTGCAAGGGAGAGACATAAGAATAGGTTAAGAGATATGTGGATGGGGCAAACCTTTTGAAGATGTAGGAAGTAATATAACATTGGAGGCAAGAATTAACATAACACCGAAAGCACAAAGCAATACAAATGAGGCAGCAAGAAGCAATATTACACAAGAAGCTGCAACACAACACAACACAACCTACGCAACTACAACACAACACGATCAGCAGTGAAAGTGATGAAGATCTTATTGAACTTTATGATAGAATGAACTTGTGGATTTGATGAAGTCAAATGCTACTTGGGTTTAAGGGTAGAGGAATTAGTGAGTCTTCATCAATATTAATAGGTATTCATTCATATCTCTCTACTGCATGAAGTTTCATCATTTGAAAGAATTTGAAAATGCCTCTAAAGATGTTTTAATCTATTAAAAACCAAAATAATCGATTAAAAATGTTCTTAAGAAATAGTTTTAACTGATACTAAAAGAGTTTTATCAATTAAAATGAGCTAGGATTTATAACAAATTTTTAACTGATATGATATCGAAATAATCAATTATTTTCATTAAAGGAGTATTTGAAAACCTTCTGCCAGTATTTTAATTGATATAAATTCGAATTAATCGATTAAAATTACTTAAAATGTTTTGAAAAGTGTTCTGTCAATATTTTAATAGATGTAACTTCGAAATAATTGATTAAAATCACTTGAAATGTTTTGAAAAGTGTTCTACTAGAATTTTAATTGATTTAACATCGAATTAATTGATTAAAACAACTTAAGGGAATTTTTGTCAAGTGTTTTAATCGATTAAAAATTGTTGTTATCAGTTAAAATCACTTATGATGTTTTGAGAAAAAGTTTGACAGAATTATAATCGATTAAAACGCGAATTAATCGATTAAAACAACTTAAGGAATTTTTGTATAACTGTTTTAATCGATTAAAACGTAGTCGTATCAATTAAAATAAATCTGTAAAATGTTTAAGCACATTTTAACCGATTAAAAGACGAATTAATCGATTAATCAAGATTTAATAATCGATTAAAAGAAAGTTTTAACCGATTAATTAAACCAGCAGTT